GTGGCCCTGGCTGCCCCTTGGTCTTGCTGTTGCCTCCTTGACCTGATGCCCTACAGACATGGAGTTCCTTGAGGTGCTGACCGAGGGCCTTGAGAGGGTGTTGTTGGTGCGTGGTGGTGGCCGTGAAGTCATCACCATCTACTCCTGAGCCCAGTGTAGTCTTATGACCTGGAGTGGGGGTGTCCAGGGCAATAGCCCTCCTTTCCCCAGCACCTGCTTGTTGGCTCTGCTTTGCCCAGCCTTGCCTTGGACCAGCTTTGCCAGGTCTCCTGGAAAACCAGGCCTGGGCCTAGCAATGGAGATGGATCTGAGATCCTGTAGGACCTTGGGCAGTTTGGGGACTTCCCCTCCTAGATCCCAGTAGGCCTGCCCTGCTAGAGAAGTCTGGTAGGGGCTCATGTGGAGTTTGAAGGTGTAGCCTGGCCCTGGAACACTATTTATTGTATATTTATTGTTTGTATGTCACCATCAGAGAGGAGAGAAAGGCAGTAAGGGAGGGGGTAGAGCCCAGCCTTCCTGCAGAAGACCTGGCTCAGGCTACTGTGGGCAGGGACCCCCACCAAGCCAAGCAGAATGGAGCTGGCTGAGCTGAGGCCTGACTTTTTTCAATAAAACATTGTGTAATTCTGGGCCTCCTGCTGCCCCGGCTGTTTCCTCTGGCATCAAGGGAAGAAGGCAGAACTGAACCCAGGCCCAGAGCCGGCTCCCTGAGGCTATGCCCCTTCCTGGCAGTAGCAGTCTCTGGCCACCCCCATTGGCCAGGCTGCCCCTCCCACGGGCCCTGGGGCCCCTCCCATTCCCATACCAGATAAGACCAGCCCAAGGCTGCTTCATCTGGAGTAGGCACTGGGCTGGAATGGGGCTGCCCGGCTCCCCATGGCAATGGGTGCTGCTGCTGCTGCTGCTGCTCCCTCCTGCTGCCCCCTTCTGGCTCCTCAATGTGCTCTTCCCCCCGCACACCACGCCCAAGGCTGAGCTCAGTAACCACACACGGCCTGTCATCCTCGGTAAGCCCCCACCAGGCCCCTGAGGCACCAGCCCAGACCTTAGGGAGCCTGGGTCCCCAGCCCCTGGCAGCAGATACTGCCAAAGCCTCTTCCCCCTGCATCAGCCCTGATGCCTGCCTTGCATCAGGGCATGGGAAAGGACCAAAGATAGAAATTACCCTTTCCTTTACCACACTTTTCTGTTTCTCTGGATTGCCTACTCCAGGGGGATAAGATGGTGTGGGAGTACCTGATGTCTTGTCTGGCGTAGACATTACAAGCTGTGGTCAGCAGTGGCCACACTGGACTCTGGGTCTATCTGTACCATTTCTTCCTTGGCCCCTAACCCACCAAAGACAAGATGTCCAGCCTAGGGCCAGATAGCAGGAGAAGCCCATGAAGGCCTGCCCCCTGCTGTAGGCCCAGCCCCCACACTCCCATACCTTGGACTTTGGCAATACTAGAGAGCCAGGCTGGATGTTTGTTCTGTGGGGGCAGTGGTCAGTGGCCTTGGCTCCTGCACCTTCCCTGCCTAATGGGAGCTTGGGCTTTGGGCTATAAGGGAAGGGGGTTGCAAAAGGGGTAGGGAGGAAGGGAGTGTGATCAGGAGAAGGGTACATGTTAGTGCCTGTGAGTTGAGGGTAAGGGAGATGGAGGGGTGGGGTCATGGGGCGAAACCAAGGAGTCCAGAGAGAGCCGGTACCCACAGTGCCTGGCTGCCTGGGGAATCAGCTAGAAGCCAAGCTGGATAAACCGGATGTGGTGAACTGGATGTGCTACCGAAAGACAGAGGACTTCTTTACCATCTGGCTGGATCTCAATATGTTTCTACCCTTTGGGGTGGACTGCTGGATTGATAACACCAGGTATGTGCTATTTGCTCTTCCCAGCCTCACATTGCCCGTTGGCTACTGGCTGCTGAATTTCCTACTGCCCCCAGGGTTGTCTACAACCGAAGCTCTGGACGTGTATCCAATGCCCCTGGAGTAGAGATCCGTGTCCCTGGCTTTGGCAAGACCTACTCTGTTGAGTACTTGGACAGCAACAAGCTAGCAGGTATGTGTACTGGGAAAGCAGCCAGGGGCTCTGGCCTGTGATGAGCCAGCAAGGTTGGCCTACAGGTGTCATAACCAGAACCTCATTGCCACTGTTTCCCTAAAGGTTACATGCACACCCTGGTACAGAATCTGGTGAACAACGGGTATGTGCGAGATGAGACAGTGCGGGCTGCCCCCTATGACTGGCGCCTAGAGCCCGGTGAGCATCTGCAGATGATGGGTCTGGGCAGGGCAAGTGGCCTCTGACTCTGCTGCCCTGACCCATCATCCACCCACTGCAGGCCAGCAGGAGGAGTACTACCAGAAGCTGGCCGGGCTGGTGGAGGAGATGTATGCTGCCTATGGGAAGCCCGTCTTCCTCATTGGACACAGCCTTGGCTGCCTACACTTGCTCTATTTTTTGCTACGTCAGCCCCAGTCATGGAAGGACCGCTTTATTGATGGCTTTATCTCACTTGGGGCTCCTTGGGGTGGCTCTACCAAGCCAATGCTGGTCTTGGCCACAGGTAAGATGACCACTGATCATCTTTGTCCTGTGAGCCATGGGAATGGAGTAAAGAGACCATGGAGCTGCCACCGGGGCATTAGTTACCACTTCTGGGGTATGCCTGTTGTCATTAACTCCCCAAGAGCAATAGCCTTGGCAAGGCCACTAGGGTGGCTCCTCCCAAAGTCTGTGTAGTGATAGAGGAAATTAACAGAGGAAGTGAGCCCCAGCAGTCTGACTCAGCATAATGTGTTCCTTGTGATTCCAGGTCCAGTCCACTCTCAGCTTCCTCCTGCTCCCAGACGACAGGAATTTCTTTCTTTCTTTTTTTTTTTTTTTTTTTTTCCCAGACAGGGTCTTGTTTTGCAGTTCAGTTCAGGCTGGTCTTAAACTCGTTTTATAGCCCAGGATGATCTCAAACTCACAGCAATCCTCCTACCTCTGCCTCCCAAGTGCTAGGATTACAGGCATGCACTACCACGCCTAGCATTTCCCTTACCCAAAGACAGATCCTCCACATCCACTCATGTCCAGCATCAAGCTGAGAGAAGAGTCCCACCTGCCCTTCCTGGAGGGGTAGACCAGGGACCCAGCAGACACAGATGCCACCTATTGAGAGCCTATTGTACACTGCCAGGATTGGCCTTCCCCCAGAAGCTCACAATCAGGTGAGATAAAAACATGATCTACCAGTAAATGGAAGGCTATCTTCTTTCACCCTTCCCAAAACAATCCTGTGGCACCTATGCAGCAGAGGACTCACACAGCCTGAGAAAGAAAAGCCAGCACCTCCTACGCCATTCACACAGCTTCACACATCCTCAGGAAACACCCCACACACACTTCCGAGGCCCTACAGCCCTGTCTTAGAGAGATACTATCATGGCCTTTCATTTAATAAGCACACATTTAGCACCTACTGAAAACCAGGCCAGCTCTAGTCTCCTTGACAAGCCAATCCAGGCCAGGGACAATTTTGAGCATCTCACTGGCAAACTGCGTACCAGAGGTAACCAGGCCCAGCTCCCTGCCCTGTCTTACTCCATGTTCACAGGTAACAACCAGGGCATCCCACTCATGTCCAGCATCAAGCTGAGAGAGCAGCAGCGCATAACGACAACTTCCCCCTGGATGTTTCCCTCCGACCAGGTGTGGCCTGAGGGCCATGTGTTCATTTCTACACCAAGCTTCAACTACACAGGCCATGACTTCCAGCGCTTCTTTGAAGACCTGCATTTTGAGGATGGCTGGTACATGTGGCTACAGTCACGTGACCTGCTGGCAGGACTCCCAGCACCTGGAGTGGAAGTATACTGTATATATGGTGTGGGCCTGCCCACACCCAGCACCTACATCTATGACCATGGCTTCCCCTACTCGGACCCTGTGAATGTGCTCTATGAAGATGGTGATGACACAGTGGCCACACGCAGCAGTGAGCTCTGTGGTCTCTGGCAGGGCCGCCAACCCCAGCGTGTACACTTGCTGCCCCTGAACGGGACACAGCACCTCAATATGGTGTTCAGCAACCAGACGCTGGAGCACATCAATGCCATCCTACTGGGTGCCTACCGCTATAGCACCCCTGAAGACCCAACTGCCAGCCCAGGGCCCATGCCTCCTGAATAAAAGACCTTTGCTGCTATAAGCCCCGTGTGTTGAGTCAAGAGAGGTATTATTAGGGTACCCACATCCAGGCTTCATGCATCAGGCCCAGGACTCAGTGGAGCATGAGACAAGATAGGTTGTGCTTGTACTTGACTCGGGTGTGGCTTCCCATCCTGGTTGAGCCTACCCTGTACCTGTTTCTGTGCAGTGTGTAGTGATTGCAACAGGCTGTACCCACAGCTACAGGTTGGAAGATGCTCCTTTGAAAAGTGGGTGGGTGGCAGATGTATAAGAGTTTCGAATCTGGGGGCTAGGTGGGTAGCCTAGTGCTAGAACACAAGGCCCTATAGTCCATTCCCAACACCAAAAGATAAAGTTTAGCCAGCCATAGTGGTGCATGTCTGTAATTCCAACACTGGGGAGGCTAAGGCATACAACCACCTTGAACTACACAACAAGACCCTGTCTCAGGGGCTGGAGAGATGGCTCAGTGGTCTAAGGTACCTACTTAGAACAAGCTTGGCAAAGCATCAGGGACCGCGGTTCAATCCCCCAGCACCACATGCCAGCCAGCCCCGCCCCCTGGTGGGTTGAGCTGGCCACACACACACACCACACTCTCTCTCTCTCTCTCTCTCTCTCTCTCTCTCTCTCTCTCAAATAAATAAAAAATAAAAAAAAAATTAAAAAAAAAAAAAGACCCTGTCTCAAAAAGTTTTGAATCTGGGGGAGTTAGCTTGACCTGATGTCACATACCAGTAGTATAATTGTAGCACTATAGAGGTTGAAGCAGGAAGACGGAGTTTGAAGCCAGCCTGGGCCACAAATTAAATGCAAAGTCAGCCTGAACTACATAGCTGGTCTCAAAAAAAAAACAACAGGGCAGTAAGAGCTATTAATCAGTTGGTTCTATAATGGTTTTATTTATAGTGTTGGGGCTGAAACGCAGGGCCTCATGCATGTTAGGCAAGTGTTGTACCACTTAGCTATATGTTCAGCCCACAGTGCTGTATGGAGAGAGGTAGAAGAAAATGGAACAGCATCACTGTGGCTGAGGATTGAGATAGGTGTCTGAGGTTTCCAGGAGTCAAAGGCAAAAAAGACAGGAATTAAGGTGATAAAGCACAAAATTCTAATATACTTTTAGACTATAAAATGCCTAATATACTGGGAGACAGTAAATACCAACCGAGATCTGACCACAGGCTGTGCAACTTTAGTGCATTGGCACTTAAAGCTCAAGTTAGGGTTAGAGTGAGATAGCTGAGGTTATCAGAATGAAAGGAGATAGGATTTATACAGGGGATTGAACTCGGAACCCTGCACTTGACAGGCAAGCACTTATTTTACTGAGCTCTCCCCAGCTCCAGGAAATGGGAGTTGAACAACAGTGTCCCTCTGTTTTGGACAGAAGATTCAGGAGGCTTGGCAAAAGCCGCCCCCCCCCCTGCCCTTTTAAGCGACTTAGAACCAGAAGTAAAGGTGAAAGTGAAAGAAGCCTCAAAAAACACCTCTGAAGGAGGGTTTTGCAAAAGCGAAAGCGAGAAACAGCTTTGGCCCTGCAGCACACAGAAGCTGACGCTAACGCCTTTCTGCTGCCTGGCCCTTCTCATCCGACTAACCCATAGGTCCTCATCGCAGTTGGCCCTACCTGACCTGAAATGCTGAAGCCTGCATCGGTGCCCCACGGGGGCTTCTGCTTCGAGAATTGCCAGAGGTTTGAGGGACGCCCAAGGGGGCTTCTGCTTCGAGAATTGCCAGAAGTTGGGATGGGAGGGGGGAGACCGAGAAGACTTCTGTTTTGAGAACTGCTGGGTGTTTGGGTGGGTGGGGGTGCGGATGTCCAATCCGCTTGTGCTAGGCTGTGGGCTTTCTTTTTCCGGCTGGGAGTAAGGGAAATGTGTATTAAGATTTGGCTTGCAAGTTTGCCTGGAGTATTAGGGAGGTCTGGACAGAATGGACGGTTGGAGCCCTGGAAGCTGAACCAAAACCTGGGCCACTTTCCTCCCTTTCCAGAAATGCATCCTTGGAACGCGCCTTTCCGGGGCTCCGGGTCCCTCGTGCACACAAGACCGGGACCACCATCGCAGGCCTGGTGTTCCGAGTGAGCTAGGGCTTGGTATTGGGCGATTAGTAGAACAGCCACGGTGGGAGGGCCGGATGGGCACTGAGCAGCCCCTCCCGGTCCACAGGATGGTGTCATCTTGGGAGCAGATACCCGGGCCACTGACGCAATGGTCGTAGTGGACAAGAACTGCGAGAAGATTCACTACATCGCCCCCAAAATTTAGTGAGAACCCCCAACCCCAGTTCTGGTGTACAAGAACCGCTCCTTTGCTCCCACCACAGGCCCCGCATTTTCTAGCCCTGCCCACACCCGTTCTCCTTTCACCCTCAGCTGTTGTGGGGCTGGAGTTGCTGCGGATGCCGAGATGACCACACGGATGGCAGCGTCTAACATGGAGCTACACGCACTGTCCACGGGCCGTGAGCCTCGCGTAGCTACTGTCACCCGCTTCTTACGCCAAATGCTCTTCCGGTGAGGTGACAGGGAGGGGAGGGTGGATATTGTAGGGAAGGCGCTAACAGGAAGGATAGGGTAAAAGGAGGCTGTGACAGGCCGGAAAACAGGAAGAGGCCGGCCAAAGAGAAGCTAAACAACCGGAAGAGGTGATGTTGAGAGCCCGCCAAACCAGGGGAAGGGGCGGAGCTCAAGTCCAGGGGCGGTAGTGCCAGGAGTGGGGCCTAGATCCCACTTGCAGATAACCACACCCCCTGTAAACAGGTACCAAGGCCACGTGGCTGCGTCCCTGATCGTGGGTGGTGTAGACGCTACAGGACCACAGCTGTATGGCTTGCATCCCCACGGGTCCTACAGCCGCCTGCCCTTCACGGCCCTGGGTATTCCCACTTCTTCACAAACCCTGCCCAGCAATCCTTAGCCTCATGTTTGTACCCCAGTCTAGAGAGTCACTGCTGACCTCAGATGCCTCTCCCACCTGTAGGATCTGGGCAGGATGCGGCTCTGGCAGTACTGGAGGACCGGTTCCAGCCGAACATGACAGTGAGCAATCTCTGTTTCCCCAATTCACGGTCATTAATGGGAAGTGTACTCGGGAGCTGGGGAAGTGCAGGGGAAAGTGGCCCAGTATTGACTGGAAGAAGAGAAGAAGGGAGTATCTACAACTGAGTAGATACTGAGCGGAGGGGAGCTGGAATATGGTCCTCACAATGCCAAAGCTTCCAGGGCAGATGCTGAAGTTCATAGAGGGCTGTTAGGAGCCAATGGAAGCGGAAAAGTGTGGTGGGGTCCTGTATAAGGCCTGAAGTCTGGATGTTAGAGACGGATGAAAATGGGTGAACTGGGCATGGTGGCGCATACTTGTAAGCCCAGCACTCTCCAGAACACTTGAGTTCAAGGCCAACCTGAACTAAACAGTGAAACCCTGTCTTGAAAAGGGGGAGGGGGGAGGAAAGGAATAGAAAAGAAAAAGAAAGGGACTGTGTGTCTTCAGAGATGGCCAGGAACCAGAGAGAAATGGGGGGAGGGGAAAGCAAGACAATTCTGAGTGGGCTAACTAAATTTGTGCAGAGTAAGGTGAGTGGAGGGAGCACAGAGTCTTGAGAGAGAGGCAGGCAGAGACCTGAGGAGGAAAGTTGGGGTGGAGGGGTAGACAAGAGGTGAGTGTGAACAAGTGGTAAAGTTTGGGCTTCAAGATTAACAAATGTCCCAGGCAGGAGCCTGAGGAAACACCAGAGGATCCATTTCACCTCTCATATACATCATTACAGCTGGAGGCTGCGCAGGGACTGCTGGTGGAAGCCATCACTGCAGGGATCCTGGGTGACCTGGGTTCTGGCGGCAGCGTAGATGCGTGTTTGATCACTGCAACGGGCACCAAGCTGCTGCGGACACTGAGCTCACCTATTGAGCCTGTGGAAAGGTGGGAAAGGAGGAACAATAGGCAAGATGGGGCAAAAGCCTGGGACACAACTAAGGGGCTGCAAGATAAGCCACATGCTAAGAGGCTGCCCTTCCCCTTTCTCAGGCTTGGCCATTACCGATTGGCACCTGGAACCACAGCAGTCCTGACCCAGACAGTGCAGCCATTGAACCTGGAGCTCCTGGAGGAAACTGTGCAGGCCATGGAGGTGGAGTGAAGTCACCTGAGGCTTTAGAGCTCCAAATGAGTGGAACCAACCTGGGAAAATACAAACATCTAAACAGATGGCTAAGTTTATTCTTGAGTGGAATGGGGCAGGCTGCCAGCAGGGCTCTGTAGTAAATTACCTAGCCTAATCATGAGTCACCTCCAGAATCCAGCATAATAGCCAGGACTTCAGGGTCAAAGTAGAAAGCTTTCATCCTCTCTCACTCAAAAACTTCACCTGACTCCGTCAGTTCCCCTACCACCCCCCTTCCTTGCTCCTACCCTCTAGTCCACTGTTATAAATCCCATAAAACACATGGACAGTCCCATCTCAGAGCCTTTCCCTGGTTCATCTGTAACCCAGAACAAAGACCACACATCTCAGTCAGGCCTGCCCTGGGGGCTAATGCACTGATAAAGGGGCTACTCTGTAGCTCCAAGGGCAAGTTCTCACCAAGCATTCTGTACTCTCACACCTCTGTGACACTCACAGGATCAGGCTCAACTGATCCCTTTATACAAAGCTGGGCTTTATCTGCACATGCTGGGCTATGAGTAGGCTGGCTGACCTTTTTTTTTTTTTTTTTCACGCTGACTCTTGTTTTGCTGGCCTGACAGGGATTATAAGACTCATGGGGAGATACAACACATTTATCTAAGCAACCTGCTCAGTTTAACAGTCACTTAGCTCCACAACTGTTAGGGAGTGGCTACCCTCCTTTAGAGAGGGTCTATTCCAGGCTGGATAGCCCTGGGCCCCTAATAATGCATAATCATCTATGATCTATGCCTCTCTTCATCATTCACTCATCTCTTGCTTTTGGACTAAGGTGTTTTGTTTTGGGTTTGTTTTTTTGGCGGAACTGGGGATTGAACTCAGGCCCTTGTGCTTGCCAGGCAAGTACTTATTCTACTGAGCCATCTCCCCAGCCCTTGTTTTGTTTTTTGAGACAGGGTCTCACTTTGTAGTATATGCTGACCTTGAACTCACTATGCAGCCAAGGTTGGCTTCAAACATGCTGCGATCCTCCTGCCCCAACTACCCATGCTCAGATTTCAGGTGGGCACCAGCATGCCCAGCTTGGACTGAGGTGTTTTTGAGTCACTAAAGCCTTAACGTCCCTGGCAGAAACCAGCCAACTCACCCATTAGAACTTTGCATAGTGTCCTCTCCAGTTCAAGTTCAGCCTCGAGCTTAGTAACAAATGGGTGGTAGGCACTGGGTTGTAGGCACCAGGGCAAGCTGTTCAGAGGTTTCATGGCTGTTACTCTTCAACTGTCAATCTAATTTCAACATCTGCCAGTCACTGAGAGCTCAGCTCATACATAAGAATGCGGGGTTCAGAGCCAGAAAGGAGGGTTTGTGTCCTACCCTACTTCACGATACAAGTCACCATCTCTGCAAAAACTTCTGTTCCGAGTACATGAACCTCTGAGATGGTATGTTAGGATTAATAACTTGACAGAATCTCCACCCTCCAGCCTTCAACAGAAGAGCTGGGTGTAACTCGGATTCTGAGCAGCATTTTCTGAGTCCAGTGTACCTGATAGCCTTAAAACACTTCCCTAGTGCCAGCCACTGGGTTGACATTATAGACCTAACTTAACTGTATCTCTCTGATACCCAGTACCCAACACTTGGGGTGTGAGATGGTTCAGGGAACCAATCAGAGGCCAGGATTTGGGGGTGGTGACTATGAGAGCCTCACACCTGGGCTGTGAGGTCAGGGGACCTGGCCTCAAGAGACTTGGTAAGTGGAGCACGGGAAGGGGCTAAGCCTACACAGCTGGCCTGAGACTTTGCCCCAAGGACAAGGATACCCATAAATAAAGCCAGGCTCAGTGTTCACCCTCATACTTGCCACAATGTTACTACTCAGCCTGACCCTTAGCCTGGTTTTCCTAGGCTCCTCTTGGGGTAAGTGGGCCAAAATCAACCCTAAATGAACAGCCTGGGGCAACTCAGCTCCCAGTACCAGCCCAGGAGCCAGGAAAGACAAATCTGGCTGGAAGGGAAGCAGCTGAACAGCATAGAAAAGGAAAAAGGATTCTTATTACATATGAGCTGAGCCCTCAGTGACTGGCTCTAAACCCCACATTCTTATTATGTATGAGCTGAACCCTCAGTGAGTGCCAGAGCATAGGAGCAAAAAGGTACCGGTAGGACTATGAAAGGGCAAAAAAGGTGGACGGGGCAACAGGCCTGGGAGAGGTTAGGAAGCTGAGCTGTTGAAAGTTAGATGTGTAGTTTAGGAAGAGCCCTCTGGCTACAGGAAGGTTATCAATTGTTCAGGGGTGGAAGGCTAGGGAGGAGACTATAACAGGGACCAAACAGAAAAGTGGTCTGGGTTGAAGGGCAGAGGCAGAGTTGGAGAGATGTGGGAAGTTGGATGGGGACTTGAGGAGTAGGCTGGATGGGGTAACCGTGACAGCTGTGAGGATCCATTAGGCGCTTCCATTAGGGAGTAGAGCTAGTATGAAGTACTCAATTCAGATCCTGCTGGGGGTACCCAGAAGAAGGTGTTTAAAAGTGGGCTGGGGTATGGACCCTCATCAGCACAATGGGCAGGTTGCGGCGTTCCTGCTATCAGTCCAGCGCTGAGCTTCAGTCAGAGGATTGTCAATGGGGAGAATGCGGTATCAGGCTCCTGGCCCTGGCAAGTGTCCCTGCAGGTACATGTACCCTAGGGGAAGGGCAAGGGTCCTGTGTGCTTCATGCCCATGTGGCCAGGGCCGATCCACCTCTCTAACCCCTGACCCCAGGACAGAAATGGTTTCCACTTCTGTGGTGGTTCTCTCATCAGCCCAAACTGGGTGGTGACTGCTGCTCACTGCAACATCAGGTGAGTGTGTGCACTCTACCTGCCCTGCTCAGCCCACCATTTCCCACCTCCTTTCCTTGGATCCCCCTCCTTGCTCTATGACTAACACTTTTCTCCTGTAGTCCTGGCAGCCATTCTGTTGTCCTGGGGGAGTATGACCTATCATCCAAGGCAGAGCCTGTGCAGGTGCTAGCCATCTCAAAGGTCAGTGGCTAGCTCATGTGTGAGATGCCAAACTGCAGGTGGGCTGCTCTGGATGCAGGAATTCAGGCATGCCCCACTCTATCCACCTCAGCACCAACTCTGGGTGCCTGTTCCCACCTTGGTTCTCTATTATCCATTTCCTGGCCCTGTAGGCCATTACACATCCAAGCTGGAACCCCACTACTCTGAACAATGACCTGACGCTCCTGAAGCTGGCCTCACCAGCCCAGTATACCACACGCATCTCACCTGTCTGCCTGGCTTCCTCAAATGAGGCACTCTATGACGGCCTCAAGTGTGTCACCACTGGCTGGGGCCGCCTCAGTGGCGTGGGTAGGAATTCAGGCCTAAGTTGGAGGGGGGAGAGAGGCAAGTCTGGGCCAGTCTGACTATCTCTTCCTGGCCCACAGGCAATGTGACACCGGCACGTCTGCAGCAGGCAGTATTGCCCTTGGTCACTGTGAATCAGTGCCGACAGTACTGGGGCTCAAGTATCACTGACTCCATGATCTGCGCAGGTGCCTCAGGTGTCTCCTCATGCCAGGTGAGCATGGACAAAGGGACCCTTTCCTCTGCACTGGCCCACAGCATAGCCCCCCTCTCCCAACCTGCCAAACTGACCTCTCCTCTCTCCTTCCCTGTCAGGGCGACTCCGGAGGCCCTCTTGTCTGCCAGAAAGGGAGCACATGGGTGCTTATTGGTATTGTCTCCTGGGGTACCACTAACTGCAATGTGCAAGCACCCGCTGTATATACTCGTGTTAGCAAGTTCAACACTTGGATCAATCGGGTCATAGCCTCCAACTGAGCCAACCAGAGGCCTTCTCCCCCATTTCAACCTAATAAAGACCCCAACCTCTTTCCTCTTGTATATTCTTGTCTTTCTCCTGGCTCAGGGAAAAGGAGAACCTCCTGGCTACCCATACCCACACTTGAACTTTTATCTTTTGACAGAAGGAGAGGTCAAGATACCTTTACAGTAGCCATCCCAGATGAGGCTCCTATCCTTCTTCCTCTGGGGCAATTCTTTGGTCTCAAAGTACAGAGCTAGGGCTGTTGGCATGAATGGGCAGCCTTCCCTGGGGAGGGCACCCTGTTTATTGAATACAGGGATACATTTACAAACTGAATACACAAAATAAATAACTGCACATTCCCCATCCAGGGTCCAAGAGAAGGCCTAAATGAGCCTATCAAAGGCCCCAAACTCCAAACTCCCTTGTCTTACTCTCAGGATCAGGTTTACCCTGGGCAAGAGAGGAAATAAATCCCTAGGACTTTAAGACCCTAGATATTTGGGAAAGTGGCAGGAAATTCTGAGGCTGTAAGCCTTGGCCTTTCTATTCCCTCTTGCCCAGAGCAGTAGGTACAGAGGAAGGAGCATATAAGGCACAGTCGGCTTGGCACAGAGTGGTCTCTTAGGTTTGGTATCTCACTGATGGTGGCACATACAGAAAGGGAGTGTGGCCCAAGACGACCCACTGGGAGCAGCTAAATGTGGATCAAATTCTCCCAGCTGGCAGGACACTAGGTAAGGCAGAGGCCTGGCCCTGGCCCATTCTTACCCACTGAAAGCAGCTATGGAGGGAGAATCCTTGGGCTTCAGCATAGTTTGTGGTGACAGGGAGATACCATGACAGCTATTCAGATAGTTCTGGCTCAGGCCTCTGGGAAAGCAGCCCCCCTCAACACACACCCACCCCTACTCTCCTTCAAGGGCTCCCTCTAGCCCGAGACTCAGTGGGGCCCAGGTTGAAGATTAATGCTATGAAAGGAAGTGGGCACAGGATGGAAAGGACAAGGGCAGCTCCCACAACAAGACCAGTACTCCAAGCACCCAGGGTTCAGAGGCAGGTCACACAGTATGGCTAAGTTCCAGGGAGAGATGCACAAAAGCTGAGAAAGGGCCAAGCAGCCCACGATCCTCCTGCAATATAGCAGCTCCTTCCTTTTTACTTCCTTTTGGAAGACTGGGTACCATTATAGCCATCTCCTGCTCACCACCGGCTGCCCATTCCCAGGCCAGACACTAGATGGCGCCCCCATGAAGCTGCAGATGAGAGGGGACAGTGGCCCTGAAGGAAGAGACAATAGATGGCACTAGAGCTGACAATGGGATCCCAGGGGAGGACCCTCTGCAGTGGCCGAGGTGCCCCCATCCCCCAGGTAGCAGCAGTGGGGCTCCCTTTAACCCTCACAGTTGGGAAGGAGGCGCCTGAGGAATGAAATGGGCATCCAAGGAGAAGGAGGCAATGGAGGTCTCCCCAAGAAATAAACTGAGTGGTGAACAGGAACCTCTTAATCAGTTCAGCTGGAGCTGAGGTGAGCCTTCATCAGCAGGGCTAAGGTCCATGCCAGGGCACTGCTTCCAGAGGTCCTGGCAAGTCTTGGGGCCAGGAGGGGTCTTTGGCAGCACCACAAAGACAGCTTTGGAATGGGAGATTGGGGCTTAGATCTAACCAGGAGTACTTGGTCCAGTCAAGATACCTGGGACCTGCAGTCTTTGGCTAAACCAAAGTTAAGCCTACCACTGGAGCCTAACCTTAAGGATTAGAATGCCAAAGAATGAAGGGAGTTAGGGAGGAAGGCTCTGTGGATGAAAGAGGTGTTCCAGAACCATTTCAAAGGTCCTAGGCCAGAAGATACTACCCAGCACTGCAAGCCCCTTTGGTCTGAGTAAGAGCCAAAGGATGAGGGAGACAGTGAAAGCTAAAACCTGTCCCTTCCCCCAACTCATACAGAGCAGCTGCATACCAAAAGGGTATCAGTGCAAGGCCAGGCTTCCAGATGAGAGGGTCTGAGCCTCCTGGCCACCCCGACTCCATCACATCAAACCCAGGTCCACTGTGAATAGGGGCTGCTGGAGGCATGGAAAAGGCACTGGGGTCAGGTACTGCGTACTACTGGCCATAAGGCCAGTTTCAAAAGAGGATATTGGGCCCAGAAGATGGCACAGCAGAGTGTGGACAAGCTGGGGCCACAGTGTGACTGTGCCACAGCTGGTGGCTCAGCCATTGTACTGCTGCTGATATCGCAGATTGAGCTCCCGCAGCTCACGCTCACGCACACGGCGTGACTTGTTGGAGCGTGTGGAACGGCTAGAACGTGTTGACTGGGCAGACTTGGTACTCTGGCAGCGTGAGGAGGCACGCTTGAGGAGGTTCTGGGAGATGGAGCGGTGCAGATTCTTCATCGATGAAGAGGCTGCCATGCTCACCACCCATGGGTGCCTCAAGGCCTGCAGTGCAGTCATTCGGGCTCCAGGGTCCACAGTCAGCAGGCGGTCGATGAAGTCCTTGGCCAGGTTGGATACACTAGGCCAGGGCTAGAGGACAAGGACAAGAGTTAGAATGAGAACACCCAAAACCACTCCCATATCTAGGTGATGCTGCCACCATAGTACTGGGACCTGCCCAGGGTCCCTGCATTCCCCAGGGTGACATCTCTCCTGGGCTTCCCCTACTCCCCCAACACTGGCTCAGGCTGCTGAGCAGGAGCTGCTCCCTAATGATGAGATATATGACAAGGAACAAAAAGTTTTTTTCCCCCAGGGAGTACTTTTAAGTACTCTGGAGCCAAAGCCTGGCTCACAGCCTACCTGAGGCAGAAGACCCCTAACCTACCTGACAGCTATTATAACTCAAGGAAATCTTAAGAACCCAAACTGTCCACCCACATCTTGAGTCAGACTTAAATTCCAACCCCTAGAAGCCCAGACCAGAACATTTTGAGGAGAACTTCCTATCCCAGCCATGAGGAGAAAAGGAAACAATTCAAAGCATCTAGATTGATCTGATAGAACCGGAGCTCCCAGGGCCAGACAGAAACCAATCTACTTCTCAGGAATAGCAATAAAGCTGAACCCCACAAGCCAGGAATCTCAACAGATAGATTAGAGACTTCCCCACTTCATATGCATACCCAGGCAAACCATGGAACCCTGCAGCTGCCAGCCAGTCTGAGGCAGTTCTAGAAGGGCCTATCACTAGACCTTCCCTATGGAAGCATCTCCATCTCCAGCGAGACACAGTCTCATACCAGGCACCATCCCCTGCTGTTTGTCAAGCAGCCAGCCTGTTAGTACCAAAGCAAACCAGATTGATCCATCTCTCCTGCTCCTCCAGACTCTCGCCTTGTCAATTACTGTGTTTGTGTAGCTGTGTCCAGAATGCCAATAGACTAATCTGTCCAATGGCCCAGCCCAGTTCTTTCTGGCAGCCCCAGCACACCCCATGTGTGAAGAGTTGGGAGCAGCATTGCCAGGATGGGAGGAATTCTCCAAGCCAAAGTAAATCAAGCTAATGTGATCCTGACCAATGGCTCGCAGCCTACCCCTGGTGCACAGAAGAACTTGCAGAGGAAAGTTGGTCAGGCTGAACACAAGGAGGTGATCCTCATCTACCCTGTTGACAGTGAGGCAGGGTTTAGGTTGACGTCCCAGAACAGCAGCTCCTGGGAGCCCTTGCCAGGCCTCCAACAGGGCTCATAAAAGTAAGACCTTCCATACTCCCCTATAGCCACATGTAAGGCTGCAAGTCCAATTCAGCACCTCCTAAAAATACATTCAGCCACCACAGCTCAACTCACCTGTTTCCCCAACATGCTTAGCCTCTGGAGCTTAAGTGTGTCTATCAGCCTATGACTGGCTGAGCATGAGAAAAAGAAAAATGATAAACAGTCATGTTCTTCAGTTTCCATAGATAGCCCTAATTGCTTGCTCTGGTGAAGGACACAATTCTTGCCTCAATATACATACTTGGGATCAGACCAAGGACACAGATGGGCATCCAGTGGCTGGCCAATGGGACAGATCCCAAAGACTACCTGGTCAATCTCCCAGAGGTTTCTAACTACTTCAGAACTCATATGAAGCATGGAGCCTGACAGAAAATATTGAGGTCAGCTAGCTTTGCATCTTAAGAAACTCAAGCATCTGTCTGCTCTGGCATTAGAGGACATCTTCTATATCTAGGAGTCTTAGTTACTTTTTTTATTGCTGAGTGAAATACCTGACACCCAAATTTCAGGCAAAGAAAGTTTATTTTGGTTCACAATTTGTAGAAGTTTCAATCCATAATCAGCTGGCTCCAGGGCCAGGTAATATGACAGAGGGGAGTCAAAGAAGAGAAACAGTTCATGGCAGGGCAGGCAAAAGGGAGCAAAGTAGCATGTGATGAGTAGTGGAAAAGCAGTAACGAGTTTCTTTCTGTCCCTTATACTCCAAATAGGTCCCAAGGGCAGGTAGCATTCACACCCAGAGGGAAGTACCCTCAATCCTAGCATTGAACATTTAACCCTAACACCACACAAACTAATCCCAGTATCACACACCCTAGAACCAACTACCTCTGAAAAGTTCCACCTCCAACAGCATGAGGCTTTAGGGAGACATCTAGATATAGGCTGTAACGCCAAGTACCAACCTACAATTTCAACAAGCCTCTGGGCTGTGTAGGTGAGAGGTTGGGTCTGCAGAGAGACTAGGAGGACATGACTTCCACTCTGACTCTGACCATCAAGTTGGTTACCTTTATTCCAAATCCAGGGTTCCTGAAGAGTTCTTGTCTCAATGCAGTTAGGCTACCTATTCCTGATATGTAACAGCAGAAGAGTGGAAAGGAAGCAAGAATTCTCATGATCATTGCTTTAAAAACTTCACCTCATCCCCCTACTTCTGCTGGATCAGTCTAGCTCTCCCTTTGGAAGGAGAGGCATCCACATGGAAAGACACTCTGTTCCACCTCAGAGGACTCGTCTCCCTCCTCCCCATTCTCTCCACTTGCTGTATACAGCTCTAATATCACAGGAGTCTGGCAAGAACACTTCCTAAGCCATTAGTGGTATCCTCACCTTGAGCCTATGGGCTAAGGGAACAAAGAAAGGAACCAGCTGCCCAACCAAAGGTGCTTCTTTCTGGCAGAGAGAAAGAAACTACTTGTTTCTGGCATCAAACTCCACTCACAGGCTGCCCTAGCCTTCCTCTGGCAGTAGGCTGACCACTTACAAGTTAGGTTGTGTGTGAAAAATGTGGGTCTCTTATAAATAGCATCTGGGTGATAGATTAAAATGTAGCCCACAGGGGGCACAGAGGGGGTCAGAGACAGAGAAGGTAAAATTGTGTGAGAATGCAAGTCCAGCAGCGAGCATTCTAATTGTACCATCTCTGAGTGACATGGGAAAAATCACACCTCCTCACTTATATCAAGAAGATTCTAAATATAATAAATTCTAAGTTTCTCCCAGTCTCTATAGTCCTGGGTTGTAAGAACGCATGTTGTAAGAACATCTTTTCTCCTCTACTGGCTACATGTGAGGCACACAGCACACCATCTGATGTTTCAACAGACCTCCTGACTTCCATCAGTGTTTTTTTTTGTTTGTTTGTTTGTTTTTGTTTTGTTTTTGTTTTTTTGGTGGGGGGCACACATTAGGGAAGACAACAGCATCTTACTAAGTTGCCCAGGCTGGCCTCAAACTGCAATCCTGCCTTAGCTTCTCAGGTAGCAGGGACTACAGCTGTTCCTGACTGTACCTGGCTCCTATGGGTTCTTTATCCAGCTCATGACTGGGAAGGCTCTCTGGCAGAGACAGCAGCCTTACCACAGAGCTGCCAGGGCAAGAAGGGAAAGAACGAAGTTGAGCTTCACTACCATGACTCAGTTTTTCCCTCAGCTTTGTCTCAAGATATATTTTTGTATTTTCAACTCCAGTATTCTTACCCTCAAAAGCCTCCTTTCTGTACTTATGTGGGCCTAAATGAGAGCAGAGAAAAGGGCACAGAGAAAATGATGGGAACTGGAGTTTTAGGGTTACTGAGAAGAGCAGAACTCTCAGTATGACAAGGACAGTATACTTTGATGCTGCCCATGAGGATAACCATTTTTTAAAATTCAGAAGGATTAGACACTGGGTGGCAGTACAGCCAGCATTTTCTCCTCTGGTTAAGACAGCCACTGTCCTGGCAGCTAGGTATCTAGGTCAGACAGGATCCATATGCTGGTACCCACCAGGCACGGGGTGGGAGGAGTGAGCAAGAGAGATGGAGGGGGGGGGGGAAGAATTCAAGGGGAGAAAAAGAAGGAAGATTTTTTTTTTTTTTTTCTGTTTAGTTTGGTTTTTTGAGACAGGGTCTTGCTATGCTGTTCAGGTTGGCCCAGGCAATCTTCCTGCCTCAGTCTCCAGAAAACTGGGATTAGAGAATGGGCTTTTTAAAAGAGGCAGGGATGGGACTGGGGAGATGGCTCAGCAGAATAAGCGCTTGCCTGGCAAGTGCAGGAGCCTGAGTTTAATCCCTGGTTCCGCCAAATAAATAAATAAACAAACAAAAAAACGAATGAATGAGATAGGGTTGATGGTATAGCCTGGAGGCAAGGTCTTGTCTAACCTAGCATGTGTAAGGTCCTGAATTCAAGCCTTAGCACCACATACACACATATACAAAAAAAAAAAAAAAAAGAGAGAGAGAAAAGACAGGGCACCCTAAAGGTTAGTAAAGCTGTGTTCTGAAACTGGAGATGAGTAACTTAATGTAATCTTAGCCCCCACTGGTACCCACAGAGCTCATGAGGTGAAGGGGGAAGATAAGAGATAAAGCAGACACAACTCAAAGAGCCACAGATTGCTGCTTGCAACTTAGTAGTTATTCTGCAGCCTATGCCAGCAATTTAGCAGTTTCACCACCAAGCCCAGTCTCAACTGTCTCAGGTCGGGGCTGGCACGGCAGGCAGGGATCGAACCCTGGCCGCTGCCCTCTGCCTAAGCAGGCACTGGTCCCCTTAGCCATCTGGCCAGCCCTGTCCGTAAAGGTTTGTGTCCTTAAGACCCTAGGCACAAAAGACATGGTTCAGAGCCTAATCTTAGTCAAACTAAGATGGCAGAATGAGTGAAAAGATGAACATAACAGCCTTCTGCTACACACTAACTCGCCATACTGACACAGAGCTCAGTCATAGGTACCATTTGCGCACTGGGAGACAAACAACCTGAGGCACATCAGGCATGAAGAAGGCTGACTTTGTATGATGGAAGGAATACGGCAGGGGCATGTGAAAAGGCATAGCCAGTGAGGAAGATGAGGTCTCCTGTAACAGTTCCATCCAATGGAGAGCATTGTTGTCCACCTTAGTGTGGGGCACAGGGGAGGAATGTGGAAAGCCATGAGCAAATATGAAGAGGTCAGAATATGGGAGAGACAATAGCATGGCAGTTCTCAGAGGAACTCAAGGGCCTAGAAGTGATAAAGCCTGTGAGAGGGAAGTGCTATCTAGGTGGAAACAAATAGTAAAAAGAGCAAGAGAAGGAGGGAGATAGCTGATGTCCCCTTTT